ACACACACACACACACACACACACACACACACACACACACACACACATACTGCCACTCATGTCAGGGGCTTGGACCAACAGTCTGCTAAGATTGCCGAGTTGGTGTGAGTTGTCGACCACTTTTCTCTCTCAGGGGTATCGCTAACTCTGGGTGATGTCACAATGGTGAGTCCTTATCCATCAGTCAAATGCATCCTGGGCAAACTGTCGGAGTTCAACCTCCTGATGAGTCGGTGGAAGTCCGATGAAACAGTCTGTTTGGCACAGTCATGCTTTTTCTGAGTGTATAGCGAATATGACAACACACACACACACACACAAATGCACAAGTCCAGACACACAAAAATGCACACATCCACACACAGATACATACACACATGTACACATAAATGCACACAGAAGAGAGACTGACATTGAAGACTTGAAGCCATGAAGGCATTTCGCAAAAAAAGCCTGAAGTAGCGGTTTACAGTGTACATAAATTTCTTCGAGAATAAAATCCTTTGCTAAAATGCAAATGCAGCATCGGGCAAAAGAGAACAAAGCGAAAATAAAAGAGGGAGAAAGAAACATAGAAAACATAGATAATAATTTCCTAACATGGCAGAATGCGCCGAAGGGACAACAGCAAGAGCCACTCCCCACACTAACAGCACAGACCTTCGGGAAGAGAAGGAAGCGAGGCTGTGCACGATGTGTGTGCACCTAATCTATTCACACAAACTAGCATCGGGCGCACAGACTTCAACAAGAAAGGCGCATCCGGCGACAGCGAGCACACATGGAATGAAATTAAAGATTGATTTTGCTTGGCTTCTTCGAAGCCCGAAAAAAGCAGACCACAATGCAGCCCATGCCAGCTGAAGTGCAACATACAGAAACAGAACTACAGCTACTGCCTGAGCCCTCATTGATTTCTTGAATTGAATAAAGAAGCAACCTTCGGCATGCGCTGCCTACGTAAATGGCTGGAGAACAAAGGGCAACATAGAGACCCAAACAAACTTACAAGTTAAAAGAAAGGGACGCAAAATAAAAAGAACGGGGGAAGAGGGAGCGGGGGAGGGGGCAAGGGACGCAAGTTCGAAAGGCGCAACATTGGAGACTAAAGAACTCGACGACAACTGTTATCTACTCCTCTAATCTATGACTTCAACCGAGGGATAGTCATTTTCCTGTGATGGCCACATCCACTTTGATTCACAATGATAAAAACGTCAACACGGACCTAGAGACTTTTGATCATTTTGTACATTAAGAGATGTACTTCATGCACAAGACTAGAGAGGAAGGGGGGAGGGGGAGAGGGAAGCAATCGCAACGAAGGAGGTGAAGGAGTACCCGTGACAACACTTCGGGCGACGAAAAGCAAGTGGTCAGCGCGGTCTTCGTTCAGATGAAAAGGACGTGCCTCCTTGCTCTCCAGGAGATCCATAGCCAGCCCCCCAGGCAAAGGAGTACCGCCAATGCTTCCGGCGATGAAAAGTAAGTGCTCAGCACGATCTTCGTTCAGATGAAAAGGACTTGCCCCCTCCATTTCCAAGGATATCCGTAGCCGGCCCCGCAGGTAGTACCGGAAACGACTCTTGGGGCGATGCAAAGGAAGTTGTGACAGCATGCTCTTTGTTGAGATGAAAGGTGTGTGTCCTTGCGTTCGTTCGAAGATATCCGTAGCCAGACTGCAGGCCCCTGCTCAGGTGTCATATCCATCCACTCCGGACAAGCCGTGAATCAACCATCAGGACGGAAGACTCGAGAAGCTTGAATCGACTATCAGCGCTTAATCCACTTTCCTTCCACAGCTTCAGAAGTGATCAGAGATGGAAAACTAGAGGCCAATTGCGGCAGGAGGGCTGGTTGATAAGCTCTCTAAACCCCTCCAGTCATTCAGATTGCTCTGCAGGTCGCAGTCGGGTTCAAGTCGTCGACATGTGGCCTAACTCGATGTCGACTGCAGTTCTTCAAGATTACCAATTGACAGCATAAGCTATGCAGCTTCCCTTATTGCAGTTGTACCCTATTGAGGGCAGAACCTGACGCGAAGGCGGCTATTAACATGGTGACTCGGCGGCGGGCCGGCGGCTACTTTTAGATGCAGAAGCCCAGTCTTCGACATTAGCAGCTCCGCACATGCTCCACTGATGTCAACATCTCTTCAAGATTGCCAGATCGGGTCAATAGGGATATCGGATAGTGCAGGCCAACATGTGACCACTATCTTTCTACATATCAACAGCCAACGCTCAGGATACTACCAGATTCATCGAATCAAATCTCATTGCTCCACGTCATGGATTTGTGTGCACAGAACAAAAACTGCCGTCTCTCTGGCTCTGGACTGTGCTTATGGCATGTGGCATGGTTGTTCAAAGAACAACAGGAGAACAGAGGCCACACCATTGCCCGATGAAGGCAAACAAATACCACCAACTTGATTATTGCACCCGCCTCCACTGCTCTGACAGAATAAGAAGGAGAAGAAGAAGAAGAAGAAGAAGAAAAGAGAAATCTACCTCTTGCCTTTATACACCACGAAAGAACGTCGTAGCTGCTGTCTGTTCAGCTACCAGGTCGATTCGCATGAGCAGACAGGAAGGAGCCTAAATCAACGCACTGGCTATCTTCTCTTTGTCGGTCGACGGGGCTGGTCAAGCCAGTCTCACCTCTACATCTTCACTACTGTCTGGCTATGGAAAGCCGGAGCTCAGTTATTTAGAAAAGCAGCTCAGCAAAAGCTCATCTACGCCAGAAATAGATCGGCAATGCCACCTTTCGAATCTTGCCTACCAACCGAAAAACAGCAAAACCAGGGCTGGCACATATGCCTTTTCCCTTCTAGAAGCTCTGCAAAAAAAAAAAGAATGACTGGGCTGATGGTCGTAAAAATGAAGTTCAAATTCCATGTGCTAATCATTGACGTTTGTCAGCGACAATTGAAATCGCTACCCTCCCCCTCTCCCCCCCCCCCCGACGAGGTGAGAAAGAAGTCCATCTGCTAAACTTCTCAAGGTGTGTAATGGACCAACTAATGGCATAGGCTCTGTCAAAGTTAACATCATCCACGTCAGCTTGGAAAGACGTTACTCGCTTAATCAAGCAGTACATGCCAGTCATCCGCCATGGGACCCTTTCGGAGGCTGCCCGCTGTTGATTTATTAAATCGATGGCGTGCGAGCCTCCAAAATTTTAGGAGAGGCTCAATTGGACTGTCAACTTGGCTGGGGCCATGTACTGGTGCTTTGATCAAACAGGCACTCGGTTTCTTCGCTCCAGGCCTCCCCACATCCAAAATTTTCAGGCGAGAGAGCGTGGCCTCCATAGCCGACCATGACACAATGCAGCCTCTAGCTGTTTGCTCTCACATCATGAGCTGCATAACCACCATCCACTCCGTTCCGCCCTCCATAGCCATCATCGGTGCTATGGCAGCCATGACATTGATCAGGTCTTCCCAGCCGCTGCCGTCCACTCGTTGCTGCTCACATATGCCCCAAAGGCACTGCCAGCACTACGCCATTCCATAGCCGCCAAGAAACTCGCTCTGCTGCTATCCACCATCATACATAGCGGCTGCTTCTAGCAGATATCCACACACAGGCTTTGAATTAAGCCCTCCATAGCCATTGACGGCAATTTGCAGCCCCACATTTACACTTGATGCACTGGCATTTAACCGCCCCACATCCGCATTTCCGTCGGCTACGTGGGCGGTTGTTATTCCCTTGATAATTGTAATCGTATGCTAGTTCGTCCCCGACTTCAATATCCTTCACAGCATACATTCCTAGGTGCGCTAGTCGCCGATCAATCATGTCAACGTACACCCGATAAACGGCAATGTTGCAATCGCAGCTGCACATACAGAAACAGGCAAATGCACGTGTACATACGCACCACAAACGAGGAGGAATAAATCGGCACACATGAGAGAACCATCAGACTGTTAGTAAACTGATGATGGATCCCGATCCCGATCCCGGATGGAATCGGATGTGAACAGTGATGGTTGGGACTGCCCCTTTTTTTTTAGGAAAAAAGAAGAAAGAAGGATGATACTCGCTATGCTGTACCGTTTGTGAGACATTGCTGAAGGTGACCTTGCTGCTTTGCCCCTCCACACAAGGAGAGAGAGAAGAAAAAACTGCAGGAAAGTAAGACGTGATGAAGGACGAAAAGGCACCCCCCCCCCCACCAACACACACACACACACACACACACACACACACACACACACACACTTTTTTTGGCTCACTTTCAAGTGCACAAGAGAATGCAAAAACGAAAATACTGAGAAAAGACACCCACCTGACGCCCAATCCATACAGAGTCGAAAGTGTGACACCAAGATTGCAACAACAACAACATTCACGAGGTCTGAACCATAGCAGCGAATCTGATACACGAAGTCTGTCTGCCTGGCCTCTCTCTCTGTGGAGTGCCACTAGCATGAAATCTGTCCTTGCAACCTGTTTTCACTGTTTAAGCACTAGTACCTCCGCCAGTGTTGGGAAAATAGGGACAAACTCCTAAAAATTCGGAGGCCGGGCCCGGCAATGGCTGCTGTTGATAGCGGGTCCTCGTGCGATCCATGCATGGACTGGGCTGGGGTGAAGTACTACTCAACAGGCTTCACTTTAACTCCGAAGACAGTGACTTCTTTGACCAAAAAACAATTCCTATGGATTGGGGTGGGGTGAAATACTGCTCAACAGGCTTCACTTTAACCTCCACCCACTTATAGCCTGTGATGAAGGCAGCAACTGCTTTGACCGAAAAACGATTCCCATCAATTAGGTTGGGGTGAAGTACTACTCAACACGCTTCACTTTAACCCCTACCTGGTACCCACTTATAGCCTGTGGTGAAGGCAGCAACTGCTTTGACCAAAAAAAGACTCCCATGGATTGGCGTGGGGTGAAGTACTGCTCAACAGGCTTCCCTTTAACACCAACCCACTTGGCACTTACATCAAGCAGACATGCAACCCAAAAGCGCTGCCTGGCGACTGTAGGATGAACCTGCGGCTGGATTGACTCCTTTCCAATATACATATCCAGATTTGATTTAATGTCAATCTAATCAGACTAGTTACCAAAGGCGCAAAGCACAATTCCGAGTATCCGGGTACTATTGTAGGACGTGAAAACACCCGATCCCATTCCGACCTCGATCCGTGAAATCGTCTTACGCCATATGTACGTTGTTGGGTAATACTCAACAGACTTCACTTTAACCCCTGACCCCGGGCCCCCGGCGACCCACTCATAACGCTTTTGGTTGCATGTCCGCTTCACGGGCTGAAGCTCACGAGTTCGCTTCCATGAGAGTGGAATTTTATGTGCGGCGACGTCCATAATGTTTGCAAAGCCTGGCATTACAGCTTTCATATTGTGCGTGCGCCTGTGTCGGCTCTGTGAGAAAACCAACTACCCTTCCAAAGTGATGTGCCAAAGCGACTCGAGCAATGTGCCATGCTGGGACAAACGGAAAGACGGCTTCTGCATTCTTTGACGAACGACGTGCGGGACAACGTCTTGCTCTACCTGGGTCCTGGGTCTGGTAAATGCTGTGTATCTGGACCCAGCAAATGCCCAGGTACAAAAAGAAGCCTGAGCTAGATAAGCTGCAAAATTCTTGAAGCACCACTGCGTGCCAAGCCTCTGATGAATCAGCGCGACATACAGAGGTGGGCGAGGGGGATAATTGCCGCAGACACAAACCGCAAAACCTATCGAAGATTATCGGGACACCAGGCAGATGTCTTGCCACTCTACCCACACACAGTTGTTTAAGACTCGAGTCGACAGGTTCGCAAACCAGACTGCACAATGGCATCATGAAGATGAAGATTGTGCTCTCGTCTCTAGGACAGGTATTGGACTGAAGCATATTTATTCGGCACTGAAGCGGAGAATACCTACATGAGACATACCTGGATGGAATGAAGACACCCACAACTCTTTTGGGTGAGTTGCATTCTTCACTCCGCTGGATCGAGCAACAACCCCCTTCTAAGTTGAAGGTCACAGGTTCAAATCCAAATCCTGTTACGCACTCTGAGAAATACGGCAGAGAGGCCACTCGAGTGGGAAAGTAGAGTAAATCAGCAGGCTCGCTAGAGGCGTGCAGGAAGCACGCAAGATATTACATTCAGCGGAGGTTCAGGTGTGAGAATGCCGAGAAGTACTGATATATGTACGCTGCAGACAAACCACTGAAATATGCTGATCACTGAAGATAAGCCAACATTGCACTTCTGTTTAGTCTGAACCTACTTCTCGAACTCAAAAATGCAAATCGGAACTGGCAAAATCAGAAAATCTCTGATTCTCTATCAATAAGCAGAGAAACATACAAACACGCGGAAAAAATAAAAGAATAAATGATACAAACACGAACTGGCAACACATCGATGAACAAAGAAGACAAATCTGCACAAATTGATTTGCATTGACTTGCAATAGGCAACTGGGGAGGTAATGAAGTCATTTATCCCCCCATCTCAGCCACCTCATCTGGATTGTGGAGAGGAAATCTACATGCTACTTACTGAGTAAACAGCATTAAAGATCTACACAATGTACACATGGCATATCCAACCAACTCTCGCACTCAGGAGAAAGTATGTTTCGTACCTGTGGTTGATGAACCGTGCCACATTGCTCATATGGAAGCCATCGATCACAAGCATTTCCTCCAGGTCGACTTCCGGTGGATCTATGTTGAATAGACAACTGATAATCAACGCACGCACACTCACACAGCACACACACACACACACACACACAGAGAGAGAGAGAGAGAGAGAGAGAGAGAGAGAGAGAGAGAGAGAGAGAGAGAGAGAGAGAGAGAGAGGACACGAGCAAATGGAACAGACAAGAACCATGCCCAAATTCAACCGTCATAAAAATCAGGCACCAATGAATACATGTGAAATTTTGGAGTCCAAGAGGAATGCAATTTTGATTATATCCAACGTCAACGAGAAGATTATCTACAAAGGAAAAATGTGGAGCTCGAATTTGACTGGGCGACCGAGAAGCTTATCCACTGCCATGTGCTGCGTTCCGTCCTTCCATTGAATCCATTCACCTCAGTTCTCAGAACTCTGCTCTCACTTTGCACCCCCCAACTTCCCTTCACCTGTCCCCCACCACACTCACCGAGTCACCAAGTCTTTTCCAATGGCACCGCCTTTGTGCAGGTGGCATTCTACTCTCCCTTACCTGTTTCCTCCCTCATTCCAGCGTCACACTTGTGCAGGGACGGAGGGGGAGTCCGTAACTTAACTTGTAACTCGTTTTAGCATCTATCTTTTTTACCGTCTCTAACGGTAAGGCTCTTTTTTACCGTCTCTAATGGTGGGGCTCTTTTTTACCGTCTCTAACGGTGGGGCTCTTTTTTACCGTCCGGTGGGGCTACCATCTCTAACGGCGGGGCTCTTTTTT